CCAGGTTATTGATCCATCCACCACAGTGATTCACTTAACAACCAGGTTATTGATCTATCCACTACAGTGATTCACTTAATAACCAGGTTATTGATCCATCCACCACAGTGATTCACTTAACAACCAGGTTATTGATCTATCCACTACAGTGATTCACTTAATAACCAGGTTATTGATCCATCCACCGCAGTGATTCACTTAACAATCAGGTTATTGATCCATCCACTGCAGTGATTCACTTAACAACCAGGTTATTGATCTATCCACTACAGTGATTCACTTAACAATCAGGTTATTGATCCATCCACCGCAGTGATTCACTTAACAATCAGGTTATTGATCCATCCACTGCAGTGATTCACTTAACAACCAGGTTATTGATCCATCCACTGCAGTGATTCACTTAACAACCAGGTTATTGATCCATCCACCACAGTGATTCACTTAACAACCGTGGCAGAAAAATTCATAAAACGCGGCAAAGTTCACATAGCCAATGCTTCACTTAGCAACATATCTTGGGGGCTCAATTGGGGGTCATAAGTTGCGGACAACCCTGTATAAAATAAAGCGCCTTGTGAGGAGTAATTTAAGTTTTTTAGGATTAAATTATGCGCTTTCCCCCCCCCCCCTTGCGCAGGTGGGAAGTTGGCCGCGCTGGAGGAATTTCGGCTGCAAAAAGACGAGATTTTGGCCAAATTTGCCGAGCGGGAAAATCAGCTGAGAAAGGAAGAGGAGCAACACAAGGACATCATCTATAACCTCGAACGGAAGGCGGTGATTGATAAAGAGAGGTCGGCGGCCCCTCCTAAATCGGCATTTTCTTTTTTAATGTATTTTTTTGCCTGCTGAATTATTTGCTTCTTTATCCTTTCGATTCCTTTGGCTTAGCGGTTAAGGCACCAGACTAGAAAATGGGAGATTGTGAATTTTAGTCCTGCCTTAGGCGTGGGAGCCGGCTGGGTGACTTTGGGCCAATTACCAGGAGACTATGAGTTCTAGTTCTGCCTTAGCTACGAAAGCCAGCTGGGTTACTTTGAGGCAATCACCAGATGACAGTGAGTTCTAGTCCTGCCTTGGCCATGAAAGTCAGATAGGTAACTCTGAGGCAATCACCAGTGAGTTCCAGTTCTGCCTTAGCCATGAAAGCCAGCTGGTTGACTTTGAGGCAATCACCAGGTGGCAGTGAGTTCTAGTCCTGCCTTAGGCGTGAAAACCAGCTGGGTGACTTTGGGCCTGTCACCAGGTGATGGTGAGTTCTAGTCCAGCTTTAGCCACAAAAGCCAGCTGGGTGACTTTGGGCCTCTCACCAGGTGACGGTGAGTTCTAGTCCTGCCTTAGCCATGAAAGCCAGCTGGTTGACTTTGAGGCAATCACCAGGTGGCAGTGAATTCTAGTCCTGCCTTAGCCGTGAAAGCCAGCTGGGTGACTTTGGGCCTCTCACCAGGTGACGGTGAGTTCTAGTCCTGCCTTAGCCATGAAAGCCAGCTGGTTGACTTTGAGGCAATCACCAGGTGGCAGTGAATTCTAGTCCTGCCTTAGCCGTGAAAGCCAGCTGGGTGACTTTGGGCCTCTCACCAGGTGACGGTGAGTTCTAGTCCTGCTTTAGCCATGAAAGCCAGCTGGATGACTTTGGGCCTGTCACCAGGCGATGGTGAGTTCTAGTCCTGCTTTAGCCACGGAAGCCAGCTGGGTGACTTTGGGCCTCTCCCTCTTTCTCAACCCAGCCCCGTCTCCTAGGGCTGTTGCTGGGGGGGCGGGGGCAAATAGGAGGAAGGCGTGTTGGATAATGTTTCCCATGTTGGGTCATTGATGAATAACGTCCCCGCTCGTCCTC